CATTTATAAAATTGTGGCAAGATGTTTCTATAGAAACAGGCAAGAACATATGAAAAGCAACAGCGCCGGATTCCCTTCAGTCAGCTTTTACAGCAACTCAAGTTTAGAATCAACAGTTGCTGGAACAAACTCTGAAATACTAGAAGTTTTGCGTTAAAGAGATGAAAAGCCTTTTCCAGACACTTTAACTTGTGTATGGCTGGAACAGAGATAGCTTCAAAAAGAATAGAGGCTTCCCTTGATAAACACAAAAAATGTCCCATAATTTCATTAGTAAATTCCTCACTAACAAAGCACCAGATGAGAAAGTGTAAAAGACAGGAACCTGGCACAGGAGGGTCCATGGGAAAGGAAACTTGCCTGCCCCCATGTCAAGATCTACTGCCTCTCTCCCTGACTTTAGGATGCTGTTTATACTCCCTGCTCCTGCTGCTGTCCCTGTAACTTGATCCCATCTGTACTGCACTTTTACATAGAGACTAGATCAAATGCAATATCTAATCCATCTTTTCATTACACCTGTAACATTTAATTTCCATTCAATTTCATTTATCAGGGTCCCCTACTAAAACTGGTCAGCTTGACTCAGCTAAAAGGTTTGCAATCTCCATATATACAGCGTGGTATCAAATGCACTGGCTTGCTGAAAAGCAACAGCTGTTAATTTTGCCTTTTAAAGAGAGGCTATTTCTATTCACTTCTATCTCTAGAATACTTTTTTCTTTAAGAAAATGGGATCTTTCCATCATTCAAACAGAGCATATTATCCTATCTATTGTAGGTGCTACATATTGTAGGTATGTTTGAAGGGTTGGGTTTTTTTCTTCAAATGCTGTTAAGCCCCAGAAAACTTAATAATGCTTTTAAGAAAGTTATTATCGTCTATTATTTTATAGTTACAAACCTCTGCAACAAAATTAATTTATCTGTAGAGCCAGAACAAATTTGGGATTAAGTCCTCCTTGTCAAGTATGACTACTTTTGGAAACAAATTCCAACAACTGTGAGCAGGAGAAACCTACAATTTTCAGATTATCACAGTTTGGAATAAATTAGAAATAGGTTTCCAGCCTTAGGCAATGCAATTTCCACATATACAAGTGTACTTTAAATCATTTTTGATCATTACTGACTTATGACTGAAATTATGCCATTCTGAGTAACACAGCACACAATCACCCAGTGGAAGATGAAGATTTTACACAAGGCATACCACGGACCTGTTGATATTATTCTCTAGTTGTGTTTCTGCTCTCCCTCCCCATTCTGGAGAAATTCTAGTGATACTGTAAAGATATTCAAAAAGTTCAGGGCTTGAACTTAGTTGAGACACCCATACCTCCTCAACAAAGTTCTCAATTCTCAAAGCACCTCTAAATCTGAAGCCATCTATTAGAAGATAAAATACTCCACTTACAGCCATAAAACACTGTTCAAAATAATAATAAGATATCCCAAAGGCTTACAAACTCAGGTTAATGAAAAGGTGACAGTCTATGCTAAGAGATCTACTTGCAAATACACATATCACTTATTAACTCTGCACTTAAACATTTTCTACAAGCCTTGGTTTTACACTTGAACAGCACTGTGGATTCTGTGTATCTTAAACCAGCGTGGAGATCCTGGCCTCACTGAAGCAACTGGGAACTTTTTTATTGCCTTCAACTTTGATTACAAGGAACTAAACCTCATTCTTGCCCAGACACGGAACTGCCCACAGCTCCCAGCACAGCAGGCAACCACAGTGCCACAGCTGACAGGAGCTCCACTGTGACACACAGAGTGGCTTCAGAGTCCCTCTAGACAGACAGGGGGCTGTGCATCCTGCCAATGCCACCTCATGCCCTGCTGCAGGGCATGTGCAGGATGCAGGTGATGAAAACGCAGGACTCCTGCATCAACTTTTATTAATACACGCTCACGCTTTTCTATTCTTATTTAATAGTTTAATTCATAGGTGTTGATGAGATTAGAATGCAGTAAGGTGACAGTGGCCAACCTATTTTAGGAAGTGGGTTAGAGAAGGAGGTTTGAGGTCCTTATCTCTAGTGATGTTGAAAATACAGGACAATTTATGTGTCTGATTAATAACTATCAACAGTTAGGAAAAAAATGTGATCTTGAGGGGCAAAGCAAAAATCTACTCCCATGGCTTCAGGAGCAGTTGAATTGTTGGGTGTTTTCACTTACTACTTCTGAACCCCAGCACTGCAATACAGGAGAGGTGGAAGAAACTACCAAGGTCCTGCAGTGCTTTGAAGACTAAATTAGGTGAAATTACCTTTGCATGCAAACCTACAAAGGATACAAATCAAATTATTATCCAGTTCAGCTTTCAAATCTAATCACAGAAGTAGGTAATTCTACAGTCTATTGCAATAATGAATTTCAAAGGCTATGTATAACATTTAGTTACACATCCATCCATTCGGAATGTACGGATATACAACTGTCCATACAAAAATGTACCTGCCAGTAATTTCATTAAGCATGCCTGTGCTGACACAAAAACAGGCTTCAATAAAAAATTAAAGCCAGAGGGTTTGTCATTAAATAGATTTATTTCCTACAGGGTGCTCTTTCTTAAAAAAAAATAAAAATTAAAGGGTGTACTCATTATTACTTAGGTCCTGCTTATCAGGAAGGTATTCTTTTAGTTTTCTGTTGCAAGGTATGATCTTACACAAACTGTGTTTATTTTGCAGGAAATGAGAAAAAACAAATCACACGCAGGTTTGAAGCCCCAGATCCTCACCTAAAAGTCCACCTCAAAAAAGGCCAAAGGATTTTCTCTCATGCAGGCTTTACTTCACACCAGATGAGAGAAATAAGAACTTATACCAAAAGAAAAGCAGATTTTGACTCCTTTCTTTTGCACGGTACATACGACTAAAGCGGCGCACGCGTTCATAGTTCAGGAGAGAACACGGAACAGGAAAACACAGGCTGAGGACCAGAGGCTGTGTTGGCAGTGCAAATACCCTCAGCAAACACAGCGACAGCGCTGGGCCTCCACCAGAGACTCCAGTAAGGACCCAGCCTGGAAACAGGATCCCTGCCTGCTGGAATGGCAGAGGTCAGCAACAATTCCTCCATGAGAGCAAAAAAGGTACAGAGTGTGACATGGCTTGGTGACACAGGAGCCCCTCCAAATGAAGCTACAAGTTTGTTCTTCTCTTGAACAAGAGAATCTGGGACTTTCTGTCAAAGTTTGCAGCAAGTGTAGCTATCACCAACTCCTTGTGTCCTTATGTCTTCCCTACACATAAAAAGAAAATAATACTGCTTATTTATCCAATTATTATTATTTTTACTGTTACTTTATCCAATATTTAAATTCTCTCTGTATATTAAATATAGGGAAGTGATAATTCTTATTTCCAAATCTACTTTATTATTTTCCCAACTGGCTGCACCTCAGTATGCACAAAAACTACTCTGTGGTATGACAGTGAAACATATCCAATAAACAGGAAGGATGTTCTCCTTCTTCCTTGTGGCATATTTAAAATCTCTGCTATCCTATTGTTACACCCCAACTTGTTAGAAAGGGCCAGGATCACTACCTGTGCTTGAGAAAAGTGGAAAGAGAATTTGTCAGCCAAGTGTGGCTGTGGCCACCCAAGCAGTACATTTACCAAGGTAAATTTCAAAATGTGTTTAGGCACCACTGAAGGCAGCTCTTCAGCCTGCACCATCCCCTGAAACCACAACACACCCGTCGCTAAGAAGCAGCTGTAAACTGCAGGGAAAAGCTCCTTGGCGAGGAATTACAACTAGTCTGAGCACACTGATGCATGAGATGATCTGATGCAACTTTTTAACCTCTCTTTCCAGGAAGGAGAGTAACCAGAACCAGCAAGTATTCCTTACTTGCCTCCTGTGACATCCTGCAGGAGGGCTTATGGACACAGAGAGGACTCTGAGCCTCCCTTGGTGCATGTGTCCTTACCCTACATTCGGGCATGTGCTCTGCTCTGCCCCATTTTTCTAGAGAAAGGGCTAAGAAGATGTGCTGACTTACGTAAACGTGGCTAAGTGAATTCTCAAGTACCAGAATCCTTCAGAGTGGCCCGCTTCTAGATGTCATGTCAGGCAAGTACTACCAGACACTTTCCAATATTAAACTATCTCAGCTGTGACATGGCTCATTTATGTGCAGAGCATCTTATAAGAATTTTCAACAAAAATGATGAACGCAATCAAAACCATCCAGAAATTACTTATGGATGCGCTCCTGCAGCTCTGTTTGCCCCGGTGCAATCATGAGTGCTGGTACATTTCAGAGCTGATCACTGCATTCTACTATTGTGCATGAAAAAGGTTGTGTTTTTTTCCTTTAAATGAAACATCAATAAAGGTGCATTAAGAACACTGCCTTTGTCTAAACACCGGGACGATGCCGTCTGCAAAACAAAAGAGTGCCTGGAGAGGCAGTTTACAGCTAACAATAGGGAAACGGCTCCTAAGCAAAAAGCCCACTTCCATGCCATAAAAATATAGATTCTGAAGCAGACAGAAAAAAAAAAAAAGAGTCGGTGTTTTCCTCCAATTACAGCATATTATGTCTCCTAAGTAATACAGAGACTAAAAGCTTAAAATACTCAAGTGAACGAACACAAGAGCTGAACTACTGTGGGGAATTCCGGGGATGCAAGAGCACCCTGGTTATTTCCAGCGAGATACATGTGGATGCCGTGCCGGGACTACCCTTGGACATCTGCTCCCATTTTCCTCCAGGCGGACTAAGCGTCCCGGAGGGAAGAACGGGGGTCAGGCGGGATACCCCAGCAGCTGGCGTGGGCAGCCCCACGCAGGTTGCATAAGCCCCGCCGCAATGGAGCGTTACCCGGGAGCGGCTCGCACGGGTGGGCTGTACCGGGAACGCCACGGCAGAGGGATCAGAAGCGTCGCCGCTTTTCTGCTGCCGCCCGGCGGCGGGGGCAGCCCCGGAGCCGCGGCCCGCCCTCCCAGACCCCTCACGGGCGGGCACCCACCTGCTCCTCCGGGCGCCGCCGGTGCCGGGCGGCCGCCGCCCCCGCTTCCCGCTCGCATTCGCCGAGCGGCGCTGGCGGCGGGAGCTGCGCCGCCGAGCCCATGGCTGCTCCGCGCCGAGCGGGACCGAGCGCTGCCCGCGCTCCCGCCTGCCGAGGCGGGACGGGGCCCTCACGGGGTCCGCGGGAGCGGCGGCACGGAGGGAGGAATGGAGGGAGGGCGGCGCCGCGGCAGCGGGGGGCGGCTCCTGGCAGCGGCCCCGCCGCGGGGATGGGGGGCCCGGGGCGGGGAACCTCCAGCTGCCGGCTCCCGCCTCGGGCTGGGCGGGCGCTTGCTGCTCGTTGGAGCGAAAAATGAACCAGCCCAAGCGCCCGGTTTCTAAAGCTTTTATTAAAAGCAGGAAGTGCCAGGTGTTAATAAAGCGTTAATTTTAGCACAACTCCTCGTTGGTGTGTCCCTGGGGAGGAAGGGCTGCCTCTTGGCAGTGTGAGATGTGGCATTCGCTGTTCCTCCCTCGGGAAAGGGGAAACACTGGCCTCGCTCTTGCGAAGCTGCTTGGATCGTGTCTTCTGCTCTTTAAAAGGAACTAACGCACACCAGGAAGAAGGAAACGCAACAGCAGACCCCGAAAATAAGACTTAGGGTATGGACAATGCCAGGGAAGGTTTAGATTGGATTTTAGGAAAAAATTCTTCACTGAAAGGGTGGTCAAGCATTGGAACAGGCTGCCTGGGTGAAATCACCATCCCTGGAAGTATTAAAAGATGTGTAGATGTGGCACTTGGGAACATGGTCCGGTGGTGAACTTGGTAGTGCTGGGTTAACAGACTCAGTGGTCTTAAAGTTCTTTTCCAAGAGATTCTCTGATCTGTATTAATGAAGTGCCTCTGCACAGGGTGTGCCTGGCTCCCACTTTGAGCACCACCCTCCCTCTGTAGAGAGCACTCCTGCCAGCCCTGCACGCCGTATCCATGCTGTCCACCACAGTACAGGAAGGACAGAGTCTGAAAGGGAAGCTGGATTTCTGTGTGTGGCATTCCCAAGCTGTGGTGGGACTGCTGTTGTCATCCTTATGCATCTTTTCTCCTCGTCCAGTTCATGCACTATTGGTGGCAGGTCTGCTTGGCTCAGTTTTTGTTCCATAAGCAATTAGTGGAGGTGCTAACAGGTTGTGTCTGACTTCCACTGGGTTCAGTGGAAGTCAGACATCTGGATTGATATTATATGGCTTTCTGGTGGCTGGGTGTGGATCCCACTATCATTTACAGCAAATTCTACCTGCTGTTTGCTTTTCCTGTCTTTACTGTAGGGCAATAAACAGCTGTAGCTGTTTGCAGCACACCTAAAACCATCACAAAAACCACTCAGTGTGCTGTGGCGGTCACACCTTCGGGCTACAAGCAAAAGTTCTTCATAAGTGGGGGGCAATACACAAGCCACTGCACTTGCCAGGCCCCTCAGTTTGGCTGCAGGGGCTGAGGGCCAGCACGGGGACAGCTGGGACTGAGCACTGGGGGAAGGGGCCACTGCTCTGCCTGCCCTGTGGCTCCTCATCCTGATGGAGCAACTGGCCCAATCTGCTCCCCAAGGTGCAGGGTGGCCAAAAGCAGTTTGCCCTGAAGGCCTGAATAGCTGCTTGACCAGAGTTCTCATTCCATAATCCATTTGTTTGTCAGTAGTTTTTCTTAGGAACAGGGAGAGGCTTGAAGAACTATCACACTGTTTAGACAGCAGCCATAAACTATTGCAGTCCTACTGGCATGGACTACAAAATTACTGGACACAAGAAAAAAATCCTATGGGCTTCACCACCAGGCACTGTGGTGATACATCTCTGTGCACAATATGACTGCTCAGCAGCAGTGTAGTAAAACATCCCCGAGGTTCTCTGCTCTGTGGGCGATTTGTGAAGAAATGGAGTGTCACATATAGTACCGACATTCTGTAAAAGCCCTCTGGAAAAAAAGTCTTAATTTAAGCATAGATTAGGTGCCTATTTTCAGTGAGCTTTTCAGTACACTTACATCCATAAACCTGTGTTGGGTTGTGGATCACAAAAACAAGCATTAGAAATTTTTTAGAAAAAGTTTATGCTGAAGCCACCACAGTTCTTCACAGCCCAGCCTCTGACCCCACTGTCTCCTGGGGACCCAGTGATCATCCTGCCAGGAGTAGTAAAACGTGTTGGCTGGTTTGGTGCTGCTCTTTCTCCCTTCACATATCTGCAGTCCCACTGGTTTGATGTTATCTCCCTGTAGACAGAGATTCTTCCATTAATTTTGCAGTGAAGGAAAGTTTGTCATATTTCTTAAAAAGCCACACTCCTTCCTACAGCAGCTGGCAGCCTTTGACTGCTTCTTCACATTGAGCAGCTCAGGCAGTGGAACTGCCTCGGGCTCCCTGGCACTCTCCACATGTGAAGGCACCTCTGGGATAACAGATCCAGTGCTTGGGGAAAGAACAGGGACTCAGAAGCCCTCACTGAGATCTCTGAGGATGCATTCACCATTGCAACCTGTGCAACTTCACTAACCTTAAAGAAACCTGTTCCCCTTCGTTGCAAATGTTCTCATGGCAACCTTATCTCTTCTCAAGGTGAGCTTTCTGAGGCTTCGTGTGTTCTGTGCACCCGTGCCTCGGTCTGTGAATGTAGCTGAGCTGCTGCAAACTGCTCTGTTTTTCCTTTGTCTTACTGAAATTTGGATTTTTTTCCTGACATTTGGAAGTGTCTGGTAGCTTCATAAGGATCTAATCACAAGCTGAAGGATCTCTCACCAAAAGAAATCCCCACAGCTTAGCAACTTTCCTTTCAAGATCACTGTCTGAGGGAAGTTCCCACCCCCCAAAGCCCTCTGGACATGGCTGACCTTCTTCTGATGGTGTCTTCTCCCAATAGCAATGCTTTCAGAAAATGCAAGGATAAATCTCAGTGTAATTTAAGTGATGGGCAAAAAAGCAACATGCCAAAAAAAAAAAAAAAAAAAAAAAGAAAAAAAAAAAGGAAGCAGAGATGTAAGCTAAAGGGAAGATTCTGTGAAGATTCTGTGAAATAATTGTTTCGCATGGGGCAACTTCTAATTGATTTATAAATGCGTGTACAGACAAAATATCTCCCAAAGAATAAAGAAAGCTCACCTTGCACAACTCTGTTATTTGAGGGCCACTAAGAAGAGTCAGAACCTCATGCTAAAAATCTGTAATTAAAGGGGTTTTGTGATAAACAGGTGATTGCAGCTGGAAGAAGACGGAATGCTGCAGCTTTGCTGAGAGGCAGGACAGGCTGAGCCCTCTGGCTTTGCTGAAATGCAGCTTTAGGCTGCAAAACATAGACACAGCTGGAATGAGTGGGACTAAACTCCCTCTATTTGGCTCTGACCAAAGCCAATAGTAGGTGGTGCGGAGAGGGTAACAGATGCTGCAGTGATACTGCTTGAGAGTATTCTTGTGGCTTCCGAGAGTCTGAGGTTCAGAGACTTCCTGATCCCGGGTGCAGTTGGGTAATGAGAGCAATATTTTATAGGCAGCAGAGGAAGGCGTGCTACCACAGGGATCACATGCAGCTGAGTCACACAGAGTGCTCCTATTGGTCTTGTTGCCCAGGGAAATGTATCCCATTCACCCTGCACTTTTATTTTCATGCCCATGGCATTCAGTCGTGTCTTCTCAGGGTGCTGTCATGGCCAGGGCAGTGAGCCCCCTCTCTAGGGACATCAGCTGCTCCTGCCTCCAGGACTTGCCCATCCCAGCTACCTGCCTAAGGGCATGGAGGCAAAGCTGAAGCCTGCCAGAGTGAAGGCTGTGCTTTGATGATACAAGAAAATCAGGTTTTGGCCATTTAATTCCAGATCAAAAAGGACATTGCCATGTAGCACACAGACTCCTTCCTGGTTCAAACAGGTCAAGCATTTTGATGGATTAGCACTGTGTATAAAGGTTTTATACCAGGGCAGGCACTGTGTGTCCTCTCTCCCACCTGGTAGAAAGCTGGCATGAACAGCCACCATCAGCCTAAAATCAGGCACCATAAACTAGCCAATTCAACAGACACATGTCTGTGTGCCTGCATCTGCTCCAGACCAAGCCTTTGGAGCTATTCCCAACACAAAACTCATCCTTGTGGAGACTCAGAAGGAACAGGAATTAGATATAGTGGATGTCCAGAGTTCTCACCTCCTTGCTACCTGCCACGTCCTATCAGAGGCAACTCAGCTAACTTCCTTTAATAAGTATGTGGTTAAGAACTTCAGAGAAAAAAAAAAAAACCAAACAAAAACAACAACAAAAAAAAAAACCCAACCAAAACTTTTTCCCTTCTTTATATGCATCCAACAGATATACCTGACTTCAGTATGGGATTCACTCAGATTGCTGACTGCACAGTTTAATCCAAATCTTTTCAATCTCCAGAGTTCATCTAAATATTAAAAGGCTTGGAAAAAACAGAGGTTCTTTAAAGCTCGGTTAATGGAAACTTTTGTCATAACTGGTAAAAGGTCAATGTGGTTTTATACAGTATAATGGATTTACTGATGAATGGAACATTTCAAACTCTCTGATGGCTTTTATCTACTTTATATTCCAGATGTTAATATAAGTAAATTCTCTAAACTCTCAGACAATTTGTCCAGTATGACCATGCAGCTTATGATGGTCATTGCAGCTCTTACATGGATTTTTGAAGTAAAGCTGTTAAATTTTGTAATTTCCTTAGATCCTTCAAGCATATTAAGAAATACAAGAAAGGGCTTTTCCAGCACCGGATACAAAGTGAACTGGAAGAAATTGGAATTCAAAACATGAAAATATATTAAAGATACTGAATAAAAATGAAATGAAACAATTAATTTGGTTCCTTTTTCTTCCATGTATAATGACAAAAGGACACTGAAGATCACTCCACATTAGCAATATCTTTCTCCAGCAGTTGATATGTATCATGAAATCTCATTTAAGGGTCAAAGCAAAATATACATAGGCTCATATACACGGGCTCAGAAAGGCAGAAGCAAAACAGTAACGGAGGAGTTCTATTACAAAAGGTCACCTGGAGCACTCCTAGGCATTGCAGGGTGGTTTTCTGTAGTACCTTTTCTAATGCTTTTGCCAGCATAATATTTTTTAAACGTTTCAAGTAAATTCTGCCATTTCCCCTGGATATTATTTCACAGTATAAAAAACATCTGACAAAAGGCTCTTTCCTG